TTCATTAACTATACAAAGAGCTTCCGTGCTTCTTCTCTTACCTTAGAATATATTAAACAATTTTTTACTAAAATAAAAATTGCAACATTGGAAATGATCGAAATTTAACATATTTCACACATGAAATAAAATTTATACGTAAACAATCAAAAAATCGAAACAAATAAGACGAAGGAATTTTTTTAAACATTTGTTTTTTATAAATAAAGCAAATAATTTATATATAAATATATAAAAAAAGTTCATGTGTCGAATATATATTTCGTATCATTATAAAATATCATATATTATTTAATAGAAAATATTTATTTAATATCTTATTAATTTAAGATAAAACAAAAAAAATTATCTTGAATGCGTGTGTGATCGTAGAACTGTGGGAAGAAATTCTTCTTCAATTAAAACAGTAAAACAGGTTACATGGTACCCTTCATGTTAATTTCTGATAGCCATCCTCACCGTTACTGTCAGCGTCGTTAACATCGTTGAAGTCTAAAAAAAATACACTTAGAAAGACAAAAAGTAACTTACTAAGTAAGCAGTGGAAACATAATATAAGCGATGTTCTTTTGTGATATTTTGTGAAAAGAATAGGCCTATTATTGCTGTCAAATAATTTAACAGCTGTTGACGACGTCCGAACATTTTCCAACACTTCGTAAATAGTGTCATGAAAGTATGTGTAGTGTTCATTTTTGCGGCATTTAGCGAAAGATTTAATAAGCGTTGTGGTATAAGTGTAAGAATTTGTTGATTCTTTATAACTTAAACTGTGGAAACGTTAATGGTTCATAAATTGGAGTTTTTGTGGTAATCATAAACATATTCTGTTGAAGATTAATTTGTCTACGCAAATTGTCTAAGCAAATAAACTGATACAAAATTTGCGCTAAAAATTTATACGGTTGGGATTTGAATTTAAATTCTAAGAATTTGCACGTTACGCCATGGCGTTTAATGGAGTATTATAAAAATTATATGTAAGGCCATATAATCAAAAGTATAATGTTGAACGAGGAACTCATTAAAAAGGTAAGAAAATATCCTATACTATACAATGAAAGGCACAAGGACTTTGAGGACTTGGACAAAAAGCGTTCGGTGTGGGAAAAAATTGCAAATGAGTTGGACATTAGTCGTAAGCAACAATTTATTGTGACAAATTTATGAAATAATTTACGAGTTAAATTGTTAACTTATAGCAATTGATGTAATGAGACGGTGGCAATGCTTAAATGATCGATTTGCCCGGGAAAGTCGAATAATCAAAGATAACTCGGAGAATAAGGAACAAAAAATTAAGTCATGGCCACTTTACAATAGCTTGCTGTTTCTAAGATGTAACTTCAATAAAATACCGTCAGTAAGGTTATTTTCATTATTTTTATGGCCTTAACAGTTTTTTTAAATTAGAAATAGAAAAAGTGCTGCTTCTGCCAAATCATCAACAAATGTTCCTCCCTCAGTTCCTGAAAGGTTGCAACCACCACCATTACCATCCGCATTATTACCAATTTTGGAATCAGCAACAGTTGAAACGCAGGAAACACCGACTGATAAACGTGTAACACGAAGCAAAGGAAGACCGGTTGATGAGTCGGATGTGGGTATATTGCGTATGGTGGAAAAATATAAGGCATTTTGCAAATCCCGAATGAAGAGGAGAGTAGAAAATAATGAAGTTTATGCATTTGGACAATACTTAATGTCTGTAATAGCTACCTTAAGTGAACCAGCGCAAGCCCGGGTTATGCATCAATGCATTAGTATTATTACGGAGGCAATGAAAATAGAGAATGCACCTATGCATTAGTATAACTACGGAGGCAATGAAAAAAGAGAAAAATGGAATTTAATTTCACGTCACCTGTGAATATTTTTTTAAGTAGTAACGACAGTTATTATATTTGCGCTGTGAATTGTTTTTTTTATATTAATTTTGGTATATATATTTTTAATCTTAAAAAAATGTTTAATTAGTATACTGTATCCTAACACTAAGAAGTTGTTGGATTTGATTAAATATTTATTATTTACTCATAAAATAAGTTTCTTTTATTAAATATGACTTTCGAATGTGACTACGTCTGCCATTTACATACGAAACTGTAAATGACGGAGAGATATTAGAATGTTTACCTAAATTTGTAACTATTTATAACTATTATTAAGCTACCTTTATCAGTTTAGCTGCTATATGCCTCAACAATTATAATACTATATATGTTTATTTACTAAGAACCAATTAAAAGAGCAGTAGGATGTTTTTATAACTAAAAAACTGTGACCTTTTATCTGACTGGTACATATTTCTGTCGATGGCACTAAGATAATATGTCATTTCCACCTATGCAGTTATGGCGAATTCAATGACTCAAAATAAGGATCATTTTGATTTAAAATTTATTACTAAGGAATCGAGAGGTGCTATGACAGTTCATTCTTTCTGTTCATTTGAGTACTTTCTACAGTATTCCTTTTCGTGATACTGCTATGTTTTAATTCTTTAAATGAACTCTTAGTTTATATTTTTAGTCTGAATAGATTTCCAGTCATCGATCGCATTAGCAGATATACATATTGTTCCGATGATAAATTAGAATGATTAATGGCCTGTGTAGTGAAAATGTCTTCAGTTCTTGGGTAGTTGTAACTATTGGCGTATTCATACATTTGTGTTATTTCTTTAAAGTATATTTGTGAAAACAGTTACAAATATTGAAGAGTTTAATGTTTTGGTCAAGTCAGTACTACTGCGTGAATCGTGGACTTGGTTCTTAAAGAATGCTACTTAAAGAAGTTGCAGATATTTCTTCACAGTAACAGATAGGAACGTCATAAGAACTTGGTGGCCGAAAATCATAAGCAAAGAGTATTTACGGAGTTTTTTTTTTCAAAAAAGCATCATGAAATAGTAACGTGATGGTTTCATCTAAGGATATATATAATTAATGTTAATTAATGATTAAAAATTTATTTTATGTTTACAAAGATATCCGTAATTTCTCGATTTCGGCTATGACTTTCTAATAACATCGATAGATCACTTTCTTCATATGAAAAATCATTAATTTGTTTTTGAAACATAACTATTTCTTTATATGTTATAAAAACATTGCTTTACATTACTGGTATAAACTGTTTACAAAACCAGCCTTTGTCAGAACAGACGGACTATAATTTTACTTTCAGACTTCTGGCTTTTTTCATACACAGAAACTTGTGTCTCATGGTTTTCAACAATGACGTATACAATTTCACTGACATATTTACACAAATTGCTTTATTCAGTCCTTTGACTGAGTGTGATAGGCATCAAGTAAGGAGTGGTGAAATATCCACCTTAATTGTTTTCATGCCCTTCTTTAAGAAATTCATTTCGTTTTACTGTTCCTTTTAAATTTGTGGCAGACGATAATATATTAGTGCACTATTAGTGATGATAACAACCAAGCAGTTTAGAGCCTAAATGTCCCTAACTACGCGAAATTTGGAATCACAATTTCAGATAGAAAATCACAGCATTTTAATGATAACCGAGCAGATTTGTATTTGGTTATATCAGTAACCAAGCATATTGATGTCAAAAACTCATAAAGTAAGGTTTCAGAGACTGGCACGCTAGGACATTACAAATATAATGAATATCTCTCTGGCTATTGCCATAAACACATTTTTTTATAAACATGCAATCGCAGAGTATAAAGTAATGAGGAGTAATCTTAAATAATGATGTGGTCACTATCTTTGTGTCATTTTTCATAGATCACATATAGAAAAAGTCTTGAAACTTGAACCAAAGAATATTACAAGGCTCATCAATAGCCTTAATCTCGGTTTCAGTTTGAATGCGATACTTTCTCTAGACATAACGTAAGAAATAATAACAAATAAAGCTAAATATATATGGATATAGAATAATATAATTCAACGTTTTTAAAAAATTGTTCTTTACTGCCATCACAAATTTAATCAGCATTTAATTGTTTATTATTCACTTCTTATAATGTACTACCTTCTGCTCAAAAAGTACTCGGATTTTGTAAATAAAACACACAAATTTAAATTTTATTCCAAATTTATTTTATCTCCTTCAAAATATGCTCCTTCTGAAGCGATACACATATGCCAACGCTTAATCCAATCTTCCATACACTTTTCATAGGCCCGTGAAGGTACGGCTTTTAGTTCCTTCAGCGAATTCTCTTTTACCGATTCAATCGACTCAAAACGCTTACCACGAAGGGGCAATTTGAGTGGTGAAGAGGAGAGTAGTGGTGGCGTGTTTGGTCAAAAAATCGCGTACAACAAGAATTTTCCATAGTGAAAATCGCTAAATGCACTTGAGGTAGTCTCACATTAACAGCTGCTGTAAACAAACTTATTGACAGACGGCGCTCAAATTTGTACCATATGTTTTTTTTGAAAAAGATCTATTACTTAAGGAGTAGTTAACAAACAACAAAATTCGGATACTTTTTGAGCAGGATTGAGCATATGATTGATTTTTCCATACTTCACCAAGTATCAAAGAAAGTTGGATTTACCAGTTCGTGTCGAACTCATTCAATTCATCGATTATTGATCTGAATAAAGTGAAAAGAAAGATTCAGATAGTTCTTTTATGAATAAATAATCTGAAGGAAATCACGATATTTACACCGAACAGTTCAATTCCAGTATAAGTTGTAATTTCTTAATAACAATTATCAAGTGTATAAAATGGAAATTTTTCGTATTAGCGATAGATATGAAAGCGGTGAGGGAAGATTAGACAGACATCTAATCTCTGTGGGGAGGTGTATTTGCTATATATGACATATATAATTGAAGTGAATGTTTCGTAATTCGTAATGATTGTTGAACTTTTCGTTGTAATAATATGTGTTGTCTATGCTAAGAGACTAAACATATACTAAACAGTTATTTTAAAACGGAAAGGCAGATTAACATAAAGAGTTCAATGTATTTAGATAAAAGTCATTGACAAAATTTCTGACAAATTGTAAGACTTCTTGTTAGGTTACAAATAACAGTAAGAAGTTTGCGAAACTAAATGCCTTAAATGTAAAATCAATGGAAAGTTTGATGTGGTAACGAGACTTAGTGCTTATTTGATACATCCTCCAGCACAAATTTCTGCTCCTGCCATTCACAGACGAAAACTAACATGTGATCATTTTTTGCGATAGGGCCACAAAGAATCTACAGGGAGAGCAGGAAGTATCTAAAATAATATTGGTTCTTACAGAACACTGTAGCAGGCTGCGCCTGCTCTGCAGAAACTGTTATAGATCGTGTTTATCGG